TTGAACGCCCGGTGCAGCCTCCGGTATATCAGCCGCTGCATCCTCTGCTGGCCCATGTCATAGTAGACGACCATCTCACGAGCAAAGTACTCTTGGCCAGCAGGGCAGTTCTGGCCCCAATCTTCGAGCCGGTCCGCCACGACTTCGTAGCACCAGGGCTGGTGGTCTTCGGCTTTCCAGCCTTCGGCCAGGAACCTCTCGATGGCACCGTCAACGGCCTTCTCGGTGGCCCTCTCAGAATCAGCCTGAGCCCTGGCGGCGTCTTTGGCCCGGAGCAAGGCCTCATCACGGCTTCGAAGGGCTTCATCCCTAGCCCTCAGAGCGTCATCCCGGTCAGCCGCTACCTGCCGGTAGGCCACATCGGCCTCATCAACACCCTTCTGAAGGGCCTTCACCTCCTCCCGAAGCCGATCCAGGCAGGCCATGGCCTCCTCAACCGAAGCAGCTTTCTTCTCGGCCTCCCTCAGGCGGGCAATCTCCTGCTCCTGCCGTTTGTGGCTCTCCATCAGCATGAGAGCGCCCTTCAACAAAACAAAAAAGGAGAAATGAAGAAATTAGGACGATGCAAAGCCCATGACACAAAAGACGTAAAATATGAGGAACTTACTTGGACGATGAGGTCCATGCCGCCATCGTAAATCCTGACGGGGCCCAGCTTCTTCAGATAAGCCCGATCCTCGACCGGGACAGCCTGGGCCAGGACATCATGGCCGTCAACGGCGTAATTGAAGACGCCGCCCTTCACAGGGTACTCTATCTCCAGCTTGTAAGTCCCGCCGGCCAGTTCCTTGCCGGCCCTTTGCTTACGGGGCTCTTGGCCGATAGGCGGCGGCTGAGATAGGATCGCCGAAGAAGGGACCGAAACCGCGTCCAAAACGGTGATGGCATTAGAGCCCCCGGCATCATCATCCGGTATGGCCACCCCGGCACCAGCATCCGCCAAAGGGGAAGCCCTCTTCGGCTTTTTGGATTGCATGTCGGCCTCGGTAAGTTTTTTCTGGCCGTCATCAGCAGGCCACTTTTTCTTCGGTTGCGTTGGCGGTTTCTTCGCCGCATCGGAGCTTGGTTGGGTGCCGCTCGCAGCGGCCATCTTTGCGGCCTCCTTCGCGGCCATCTCCTCCTTCGCCTTAGCTTTGGCTAGGGCCATGACGGATCTACGATCCATAGCGAAGTCTGCACAACAAGGGAAACAAACAGTTAGCAAAACACAAAAGAAAACATAGACGAAGACGCCAGGGAAGGTATTACCATCGACATCAGTAAGAATGCCCATATCCGGGCCATCGGCCTCCTCAAAGGTGGTGGTCATCTTCGGCCACAACTCGATGTCACCTTCCTTGTCACCATAAACGTGATACCTAATGAAGCCGAGGGTGGTCATCTTGTATTCCGTGATGTAATGTTTCACGCTCCTCGGCCCATCCTTCAGAAACGCCGCTACCTAGGCATCCAGAATACTGCTCTTCGGCACGTCGTGCAGGGTGAACTTACCGTCGTGACCGACTGAAGGAAACTCCGTACCGTCCTCACCCAAGGACACGAAGACGAACTTGCTCTTCCATCCATGAATAGACGAAGGGAGGTCAGTGAAACTCCTCTTCTTCGGTAGCTGTTGGAGGTTAGCGTAACCAGCACAGTTTTTGTGGCTCCCTCGGCCAATCTGGTACAGGTTCATAAACAGTGCCGTTGTCGGCCTAAAATCTAGCTCATCGCAGCGAAGAAGAAAGTCGACGATGAGCGAATAGCTGTTGGGAGTCAGCAAGGCCGGAGGGAGACCCATCATGTCCAGATACTCTGTGATGAAGGGGTGAAGGGGAAACCTGAGTCCCTTTGCAAAGCTCATGGGGTACACTCCAAAATACCCTGGAGGTGGATTCAACACGTGATCCGTCGGCTTGGGCACCCTAACCCGCCCATACGGCCCCACGTACATCTGGGCCACCAAGTAATCGGCCGCACTACTCTCTGGCTTGATCAGATAAAGGTTGGTGAGATCCAGGTAAGAGAAACCTGGACCCCTCTTCGGCCGCCGCCTTCTCGTCGGAGCAGCTCCCTTTACAGCAGAAACCGGCTTCGGGCAAGGGATCGCAGCCGATGTAGACGCTCCGTCCACAGCACGCGAAGCCACTACGTCTTCACCGTCAGATGACGAGGCGGCCTCTTCGTCCTCACCTTCACCCTCCCCTGACTTGAAGGAGCTCAACTCCTCTATCTCCTCACAACACTCCTCTACCACCCGGTAATCAAGGGACTTAGCAGAGGGCTCATCATCGTACGGGTAGTACTCGTCGTCCAAAGGCTTCATTATAACAATTAACTAGAGCCTAAAGATTCCTACTTTGGATCTAAGGGTTTTTCTCCACTAAAAAAGGATCAATGGCCTAGGAAGCGAAATAGGCAAAGTACAGAGGAAAGTTTTGATGAACTAACCTTTGAAGCTTGGATGAACACGAAGAACACTTGCAAGAACTTTATCTCTCTAGAAAATTCAGCAGCACTTCGTTATCTAAGGAATGCAATGAGGAACCTCTTCGGAGGGGGGGGGGGGGGGGGTATTTATAGACCTCTCCCCCAACGGTCACTACACGTGACAACCTCCCATTGGCCACATGAACGGCCACCACCCCAAAGGCCCATTGAGTTGGGCACCGGTTTAGAAGTCGGGTCAGGCCCACTTCCACAACACCAGCTCACCACTAACAAGCCAACCACTCAACGGTCGCACCAGAGAAGCATGCCCGCATCGGCCTCAACACAAAGATACTTCAAATGGGTAGATCACATCTCCAGGCATGTCCACATCGGCTTGAACAGAATGCCAATCGCATGATTTTCTCAACGGCCACGGCGGTAAAACCACCAAGAAAACCCCACGCCATCGGCCCTGTATAAAACCCTGATGATAATTTCTTGAAAGCGACCTGCGTCCAAGGGTTCTCCCACAGGGTTACCTTGACCAGGAAATCGCCAAGGAATTGGATTCAGGTGTATACAAGAGTCCGCTTCGGCCTGGGTAAATCCTTTACTCCTTCACCCCTCACTTACTCTTCGGCCTGAAGCAGTGGGGGACTGGGGGACTACACCGGCCTTTTCAAACCGGGACAAAATCAGAAAAATCCAAAAATATACTAAGTCCACAACGTCCATAACATCGTGGTGCACCATCGGCTGCAGCAAAGCTAGCGAACAAAAAATTCCCTCCAAAAGCGCAACACTTGAGGTCACAGGGCACTCATCGGCTTTGAGACCAGGACACACACCATTCCTCCCGGATCAGTGCCGTTATCGTCCTCAAGAGCGTGAACGCCAGACTACGGACAACACCGCTTCAGCCAAAAAACACAGAACACGGCCAACGGCCAAGAAGCAAACCGCACCCTCACCGGCTACCCGGGAACAAGAGAACATTCATCATCCTCGAACAGGAGACAACCACAAGGGCCTCCTTGGCCCCAAAGAGCGAAGAGCACCCATCAACTATCACGAGTGGGCACGACCCTAATCGGCCATTCGTGACAAAGGGCGCTCATCGTTCCACCAAGCAAGGACGCTCACCGTCCAACCAAAAGGCAGCCCCAATGGCCTCCTCGGCCAGCAGTACGAACTTTAACCAACGGTCAAAACGAGTGAACAGCACCCTTAACGGACACTCAAGATGAGGGATGCTCATCGTCTTCAAACAAGAACACAACCGGAGTGGCCTCCTCGGCCCAAAAACAAAATCCAGCCACCAAAGGTCATGAGAAGGAAAGAATGTCTTCATCGGCCACCCATGACCGGAACGCTCATCGTCCACATCAAGGGGAAGGTAACGGCCAAATCCAGGACAGGGCCACCGACGCCACGACAGAAAAAGGCCAGGGTGGTCCCACGTCGACCAAGAGCATCAAGCACAGAAATCTACTCTCCTGCACTTCGTCTACATCTCAGCTTAGAGAGTGGGGGACTCCTGATGGAGTATATGGGCCTGGACCCCATGGCCCACATACTCAGAAGAACAGAAAGTACAAGCCACTAAGCGGTGCCCTCGTCGGCCAAAGGACCCCGTCGGCCAAGGAGGGACCAACCCAGAATATGATCCTGAAGTCTGGGAACCAGGGTGTCCTCGTCGGCCGTGCCCTCATCGGCCGTGCCCTCGTCGGCCAGACCCTCGTCGGCCACGGAAGTCCCGCAGAACTGGATTTTACACTTATTCATTTATATATCTCATCATTTACTTTGTATTCGGCCCAATAGCGGTCCAGTTGTAAATGGGCCTCCCTAGCCCAAGGTTTGGGAGCCCAGCCCGTATTTTTCCTATAAATACTTCCTCTGGAGGTAGTTGTAGGGGTGACAAAATCATTCTATTGAAGCATTTACTTGCACTTCTCTCTCTAGCTCTCACTTCTCTCTAGAATATACTCGATCACCTTGTGTCAAGCATGTATAGATGGAACACCCAAGAGTGCCAAGACTCATGAGTTTCTAAATGGTCATTCGACAACCATGGATGCGTCAACGTGTTTCTGAACAGAAAAAACGCAAAAGATGGAGGGTCCGGTCGTCCGGCAGAAGCAATGATGAGTAAAGGAAGGGTTAATAGACAACTATTCCAAACTGGACGTGAGCGTCGGAGAAATACAATCCATCTTGTGTAAACGGCAGGATTCCGTCACTCCTTTGCTTCATATGAATAAACACGGAGCAGTAAACTATGCACTCGGTACAATTATTTAGTGCACATACAGACACCAACACTTTTTTCCTGACGGTTATACCCCTAACATTATTGATCTTTATAGAATTGTAGAGATGTAGAGATAATAATGAATAAGAAATTGAAGAGGGGATTAAACCAAAACCTTGCCACCACCTTGAAATACATGATAAAATAAAACAACGGAAATTGGGCTTGACATAGCCCATTAAAACGAGAAGTGGGATCACAATAAAATAATAGAACCGGCCCATCAAATTTAAGTCCATCAAAAGAGGAAATAAGCTACTCCATAACATTTTAGGAAACCGTGATGTTAGGACATCCAACCATGTCCAGATGAACTGATGAAGTGCTCCCCTTATGCGGACTGGAAGTTGCGCAGCCCAAAGAAAGATGATCTGAGAACGAGACGAGGTAGAGATTTGCGCCAGAAGATGAGCAACCTGGTTCAATTGTCTGTAACAATGGTGGAAGGAGAACCAACAGTCAGTGGCGATTCGTCTGATAGGGAGAGTGAGAAAGCTGAAGGAGCCAACGAGTCTGATTGTTGTCGAAGAAGAGAGATTGTTGCCAACGAGTCTGATTCGATCTCCACGTCAAAGAAGCCAGAGTTCAGCAACCAATGTGTAGCCACAGAATTAGCCGCTATTTCAGCTTCAAGATCCGAGCTAGCCTGAAGAGGGAAAGATCCAGCAAAAATAAGGTTGCCTTCAGCATCTCTGAGTACCGCAACACCAAAGGAGGAATTCCGATTGAAAGAGGCCTCTACATTCAACTTGAAGGTATCTTTAAGTTTCTTCTGGTTTATTCTAAGAAACTTAGGCTTATGAATTTTTTGTCAACTGGAAATATGCCTTCTTGAATGAAGAAATCGGGAACCTTACCAACTTTAGATGGAAATATGCCTTCTTGAATGAAGAAATCAGGAACCTTACCAACTTTAGAATATTGTATACCTGCAGCCCGGAGGTAATTGTAGTTCTTTATTGAGGTAACAAGTGTCATATGGTTAAAGGTGGTAGTAGTGTTGTCCCAATAGTATGAGGAAAAAGATTTCCAAATATGCCACGTAACAATACCAGGAAACACATGCTTGTAGATATCTGTAATTGTCTTAGAACCAGCCTCTAACCACCATGAGAAACAAATTTGTCGATAAGAGACCTCCCAATTAGGTATGGGTATCATAAACAATCCCATGAAGTAAACCCAAATTGGTTTAATCTCTGGGCAGTGGTAAAAAATATGGGAGGTGGTGAGTGAATCTCTTTTGCAAAATGGGTTGATGTTGTTAGGAAGAGGAAGAATGTTCTGAAATAGTTTCCACATAAAAAGTTAAATGGGAAAAAATGGCTTAGGATGCCAAATGTATTGATTTGAGAAAGTTACTGACTGAGTGTCCCTCACTTCATGAAATGTAGATGATAGTGTGAAGCTATCATCCTGTGAAGGTTTCCAGACTATGCTTCCATTTTGGGACTCCACCGGATCAAGGCCATGTTCGTGTGTCTGACAAATTCCTTTCCAGATGGTTGAGTCAGGTAACATTGCTTTCATATCAGGCCCTCTAGGATATCTAGAGTGCATGAACTTGGTCAAGAGAGATGAGTTATATACCAGTTCCACCAAATTTTGAGAGAGAATGCAGACTGAATATCTTTGAAAGACCTAACTCCCGGACCTCCTTGTGAGAGAATGAAGACTAAATATCCAATGAAACTTGTTTGACCTCTCATGAGTACCCCAGAATAAAGAAGCACATTTCCTTTTCCAAAATATTAATCACTTTGTGAGGAAGCTTAGCAACTGCCATAGTGTGTATTGGGATAGAAGACAGGACATATTTGATTAAAATGAGTCTTCCACTCTGAGACAAGACCCTTTTCCTCCAATTTGATAAGTGTTTATCAAATGAGCTAATGAGATCTGTACAGAATCTGAATCTGTTAATGCCCTTGTGAAGATAGAAACTAATATATTTAATAGGAAGCTTAGAACTTTTCATTTCAAGAAGATATTATATCTGCTCAATTCTGTTATCAGGGAATTTAGTGCTGAAAATAAATTGGCTTTTGTTGTAGTTCACGGTTTTCCCAGAAGCTTCTTGATATGAGGAAAGGAAGTTTTTGAAGTTCAAAAGGGATCTGGCACCTCTATTTAAGAAAAGGAGAAGGTCATCTGCATAGCCAAGATGTGTAACAGTAGGGGCTGCACGGCTAACTAAATAAGGTAAAATCTTCCTCTCATTTACCAGTTGAATTAGGCCTCTTGAAAAAAACTCTGAGGTTAAAATAAAAAGATAAGGGGAATGAGGGTCTCCCTGTTTCACCCCCCCCCCCCCCCCCCTGTTAGCTTAAAAAAACCATATGAAGAACCGTTGACCATGACTGACATATGAGTAGCTTGAAGACTGTTCATAATAATATTAATAAAAAGGTCTGAAAAACCAAATTTTAATAGAACATCTTTAAAAAAAGACCAGGATACTTTATCAAAGGCCTTGGCCATGTCAAGCTTAATTGCAATGTTCCCCCCTCTTACCTTTTTATCCTGCACATGCATCAATTCCTGGGCCAATAGAATATGTCCACTAATGTCTCTGTTCTGTAGAAAACCAGCCTGCTCTTTAGAGATGATCTTTGGCAAGACTAAACTGAGTCTTGAAGTTAACACCTTGGTACATACTTTACTGATAAAAGTAGAGAGGCAGATAGGTCTAAACTCAGTGAAATTCCTTTGGCCTGTCAGATTTAGGAATAAGTATAATATTTGTACGGGATAGGAGTACAAATGAAGAAATCTTTAACAGCAGAAATAACATCATTCTTCACTATTTCCCAACAAGATCTGAAAATTTTCCATTGAATCCATCTGGCCCAGCTGCACTATTATGATTAAGCTGCCAAACAGCTTCTTTAACTTCATCTTCACTTGGTGATTTAATTAACATTTCATTGTCTTCTTGAATAATAAGATGCGCAATGTACTGAAGTACCTCATCTGTACCAGGATCAGAGAGATGGGAATCATGTCCAGTAAAGAGATCCTGGTAGAAATGAACTGCCATGGACCCAATTTGATCAGAATCTGAAACCCAGGTACCATCTTCTTTCTGAATTGTAAAGATAAGCTCTCTTTTATATCTACCCTTCAAAAAATCATGAAATATTTTGGTATTGCTATCTTCCCCTTTAAGCCACTTGATTCTGGCTTTTTGCTTCTAAAACTGTTTTTCCTGTTTGTTTGCTAAAATAAGCTCAGCCTGAGCTTTATGCCACTCAGTCCTAGTAATCTCATCAGCATGTGCATCAAACTTTCTTTCAGCATCTTCAGCAATCTGCTCACACTTTTTAACTCTATCAAAATATTTCCGAGGATCACAGAATTTCATTCCTTAAGATCCCTTTTAAAACCCTTCAGTTTCAAAAACAGACCTCTCATTCCACTTCCATAATTGTGTGACCCCCAACTTTTACTCACCATTTCAAAGAAGTTAGGATGGCTTGTCCACATGTTTTGAAATCTAAAAGGCTTAGGGCTAAAGTTGTTGCTCAATTTGCATTTCAATAGAACAGGACAATAATGATCAGAAGAAGATTTGTTAAGATGCTGAATATGAATATTACCAAATAATTCTTGAAAATCATTATTTACAAGAATTCTATCTCTCCTTCTCCAAACCCTTCCATTGCTTCTCACTCCAGTCCAGGTGAATTGGTCACCAACCCATGGTAAATCAGAAAGGCCACAGTGTGCTATGCAGTTATTGAAATCACCTCCAATGACCCAAGGCCCTGTATTGTTGTCATACCATCTTGTAAGGAAGTCTCATAACTCTCTTCTTTCCCACACAGAGCATTTTCCATATACAGAGGTGACCCAGAAAGAATAGTTCCCCAAAATAACCTGACAATGAAAAAACTGCTCCTTCCAAGAAATATGATCAATGATAATAGTAGAAGAATTCCAAAAAAGCCAAATTTTTCCACATAGCTGTAAATAACAATCAGAAAGGCCCAGTTCCCTCTTCATGACCTCACCTTTTGAGTTATCCATCGTAGGTTCCAAAACAGAAACAAAATGAATATCCCACTGCCTGATTAAACTAGAGAGTCTTGGGCAAGAGGAAACAAGACCCCAAGTGTTCCAAAATAGGCTATTCATTGGGAAACTGACAAAGAAGCTTGTGAAAGCCTTTTGCCGGCATGTCTGGTGAGTATTGATGATGCTTCAGGAGGAACTCTAGGCTGTCTTTTTTTCCTTGCAAATTGACTAGATCCATCATTAGGGTCTGTTTGTTGTGTGTTGTCAGTATTATGAATACCATCTTTCATCATACTAGCCTGAGCCTCTAGTTTCTCTTTCTGCTTAACTATATATGCCACTCTTCTTTGCAGGGATGCTAACTCTTCAATCCAAGAGTCCTTATCAGAAATATGGGGTGGATTGTATCCCTCAGAAGCATATCTATTAACTAAGAGTGGAATAAAATTCTAAACTGCTTCTTATGCGATGAAGTCTGGTGTCATCAGATGGTGTGGCAACATCTGCTTTGTAGGAAGGTACTAATCCTGGAATCTCCATAAGCAGAAGTTTCTTAGTTGAGTAGGTGGTTTTCTCTGTTCCAATTACCTTGTTTTCCTCAGCTCTGGAGTTATGTTCTGCTTCCTTGGCATTTTCTTCATCAAGGATGGGATTAAATGTATTGTGATTTTCTGCCTTAGGAGCCTGTGATGTCCCAGCACCTGAGGAGGAGAAAGGCTGTGTGGAGATGGGTTGTTCCATAATGATTTCCTCCACATCAGTATCAGTGTCTATGATGTCTCTATTTTTGGCAGAATTGTGTGGAGTCTCAGTTGTAATTAATAACCCTTTTCCCTTTTCCAGTGATGTATGTTTAGGAGATATCTGTGTAGGATTGTTCTGTGCTTCCTTGGTTTAGCAACCCATTTTGCTTTTGATGAAACAATATCAGCAGGTTGTTCACGTTTAAGACATTTGCTTTCCCAAAAGCCTTACGTTGGTTTTCCATATTAGGTCTCCCTTTGTAAAAATATCTGATCAACGATCATTTATGCCTCTCCACTAGGGTTTGGGTGCAGGGGCGGATCTACCTAGGGCCAGGGAGGGCTAGGCCCCACTTCAAAAAAAATTATAGTATATATATATATATATATATATATATATATATATATATATATATATATATAGACACGCACTAATATATATAGTGTTGTGCAACAATAGTATAATAATTAAAAGCGTCAAAATGTTTACAAAATCGGAGATGGCAAGATGGAATTAGATCCACCGTGTCAGGGCACTGCATTTGAGCAACCCTGAGTCCGAATCCCATTGAGAGCTAGATTTCTTAAATTTTGCTATGGAGAGCATTGTGTTTTAAAATTTCAGTCTTCCCCCCCTAAATCTCTTTATTCCACACCAGAAGAAGAAAGGGATTATTCTTTCATACATATCTATTTAAACTGGATCTCCTAGGATCAATTACTACAAACTTAAACTCGTTGAATGGGCTTCATACTAATCATTAATGGCCATGCTTTGGGCTTTTGAATATTAGCCTAAATAATTAATTAGTTCAATTAATCAAGTGCTAATTACCCGGGTGGGCTAGTTTCCGTAACTTTCTATCACTAATATCCCAACTGCCTTTTCTTTTCATATTTAACTTTTTTATTTTCACTATTGTTTTTTTATTTCACTTTTGGACAGTTTCCTGCCAACGTTCTTCACCAATACGAATTTCCCTCAATCGCAGCTTGCTTTTTCTTTATTCTCGCTTCCGGTTTTCTTTTCTTCTTCTCCGATTCATCTTTTCTCATTCGTTCATCTTCACGATATTGTCGACGGCAAACACTCCTACTCGTGTTACAAGATCTTCTTCTCGGCTGAATATGGATGGAAGAAGTTTTGATCGTCACAGTGCTTTTGCTTCACCTGTTCGTTCGAGAAGTCCGAACTTTGCTCAGAAGAAGAGAAAAAATGAAAATGCTCCAAATGAACTAGCTAAAATGCTTTGCAGTTTTTTCGGGGGCTAAAATTTAAAAAAGAATGAATTTGTAGTCTTTAGTTTCGATTCGATCATGTTAGCATTTTCCCCCGAAGTATTTGTGATTCTGTGATGGATTGAAAACTAGTTAACACCAACGAATTTGATTTACGCTCCATGTTTTGGCTGGTATTTGACTTTGCACCCTATAAACAAATCATCGTGAAATTATGCATCCCAAATCACTATAAAATCATTTGATTTTGCACTTCACAATTTTAATAATTTTCAAAATAGTGTAAAGTCAAATATCAATTAAAACATGGGGTGCAAATCAAATTCGGGTGCAAAGTCAAAATCTCTTGAACTTATACTCCGTACTAAGTTTGAACTACCTAGTACTTTCTATAATTCTATAAATAAAATAAAATATAATTTTGTATTGGAACGAAGTGAAAAGATGAACTTTGAAATTCAAAAAGAACTTTTTTTTACACGAATTCCAAAAGAACTTTATTACTTTGAAATTGCATCCCATTTTTATGATTATATTTTTAGGGTCTAAGGTTTACACGAAATAATCAACTTTGGACTGCTTACACTCAAAAAGATTTTAAAATATGTGATGTGAATTTCTATTTCAAAGTAAGAACTAAGAATGTCGTCATAGGTGCAATATTTAATTCTAATTTCTTTACTTTTTTTAAACCCGCTAGATTTTATTAAAAATACTAATTAAGTACACGCGCGTTCGTGATAATGCCCAAGGTTATTGTAATGATATTAATTTCTCGATTTAGTTTGAGTCAATAAGAGTAATATGAATACAATATCTGAATACATAGTTTGTTATGTATTCATAAAGAATCTTAATCAATAACGTATTTGTAGGCTAAATTATGTGGGGGAATAAAGCAGCCAAAGCCAAAATGACTATAATAACCACAATAGACGTAAGGTTCACATCAAATAGTAGCATGCATCCGTGTTGTTATATGAAAACACACATAACAAAGACAAAAATGTTTTTCTTGAAAAAGTAGTCAAATATTTATTAGGGTCTAATACTCTAATACTTGCTTCGTTCTTTTTTAAACGCAACGGTCCACTTTTCACATTTGCCAACACACAAGTTTGATCATTAATATCTTTCATACTTTATTAGTAAAAAAAATTAAAAAAATAGATTTTGAAACTTTAAAATGAGAGGAGTTTAACAATTTTTTTAAATTTAATTTATAATACATTAATAAATAAAACAGAATCAAAGTAGAACATGTGAATAGTGTAAAAAGTTCAATGTTACATTTAAAAGAGAACGGAGGAAGTATATTGAAAGTCACGTGCAGAAAAGCACAAGCTGCACCAACACTGTTCAACAACTTACCTGAAAATACAAGCCAAAAAAAAGAGAAACTTCTTCCAACAAAGGGGAAAATAATGTAAATACCCCAAACTTTGAAAAGGTGTGAAATAAATAACCCAAACTTGCATATGTAATACATATACCCCGAACTTTATATAAAAAGTTGTTTTCACACCATTGTTATATGCCTTTTAGAAATACAAATTTATTGCCATAAGTACGTAATTTAAAATAATCTAAGCTTTATTTGGATGCGGTTAACATTCTTAATTTTCATTTTTGAAATAAATAATATTAATCCGATACAATCTAATTTTAATTGCATCCTCATGATAATTGTATTGTGTGTTTTAAATTACTGTATGTACTTAACCCATAAATTTATATTTTTTAAAAACATATTATTGTGGTGCTAATAATATAACTTTTTATTGTTGTACATAAAACTGAATTCTCAATAGATCAATCGCAAGACTCAATTTGATGGCTCTTCTTATATAGAGTTTGGAGAAGCATACACACAATATCGTTTTGGCAAAAAGAACAAAAAGAACAACAATATTAAAAAATGTTCACCAGAAAGTAATTTTTAATTGAGAACTATTAGAAGATAACACTTGTAGAATAAGCTTATAACTATTAGGAGCAAAGAGAAGGGGTGAGAAAAATGGGATGGTTAAAAAAATACGGAGTAGTAAATGTGTGTTTAATTCAGAGAGGAATTATTATTTTAAAAAATATCTAAAGATTGTTTTGATAATTAATATTTTGGTATATTGTTTTTATATACTACATTACTACTAATATATACTTCGTATTAATTAATATAGAAATATATATATTAAAAATATCACAAAGAACATGTTTTATTTAACCCCAAAAGAGAAGTTGCAGGAAAAATCCATAGCACCAAACAAAACACAAGATTAGAGAAACGGTGAATACTTATCCATTTCTATCCCCTTACTCTAATTCTCTTCAACCCAACATGGGCTTAGGAACAAAACCGAGGCAGACCAATTAGAGAAACGGCGAATTCCTAGACTGGCATTTCAATCCCTTTCCATTCTTTTTTGTTTAATAAGAAGAGATAATAAATGAGAGAAGAGGGATAACATGAATGGCTAACTTTACATTTATGTTTAAAATAACAACCTACACAAGGGGGACACAGAGGGAAAGAAGCCGGGTGCAGAACTTTAGTGGCATCCTATGATTCCTATCTAACCCTAAGGATTCATCGGTTGAAGGCTCTTGTTAATTTGACTAATACAGTTCATATAGGAGGGAGCAACATGACCCCTCGGTCAAAGGATTACAGCTCGGCTAATATGCAAATTATGACTTTTGCCTCCATCAAGGGTTGACACCTGATAGCAGCCTCATCTGCGACAGAGCTCATACGAACACCTATGCATTACCATTCCGTCAAGAGGCAAGGCAGAGTGACTTGTCAAGTCCAGCCGGGAAATTATCACCTCTTCGCAATGGAGGACAACATCAATGGCCCCAGCTTGGGCAAGGCAAGCAATAACAAAAGAACAACAGAGAAGAAAAGGACTGGCAGCAGAAGCGAAGCCTCACCCTCGGCTAAACTACACAAACCAGGACAACACCTCGACTCCGCGAGGACAATGTCAATGTGAAACATCGGGCAAAAATCAGTCAACCGAAGCTTCACCTCGGCTAAACAGCCCCTCGGTTCCAGGCAATACTCAGAATCATATACTACGTAGTATTTATAGTATGAAAGTATCCAAAGCGACTGATTACGTCTTGTAACGTGCGATGCGCGATCGGGATAATGCTCAATGTGTTTTGTGTAACATAAATCTTTAATTATAAATGTTTGCACCTCAATCGAAGCTTCACCTCGGCTAAGCAGCCCCTCGGTTCCAGGCAGTACTCAGAATCATATACTACGTAGTGTTTGTAGTATGAAAGTATCCAAAGCGACTGATTACGTCTTGTAACGCGCGATGCACGATCTGGATAATTGCTCAATGTGTTTTGTGTAACATAAATCTTTAATTATAAATGTTTGCACCTCATAAATTATCTTTAATTATACCATACCATAATGTCAAACATAAATGAATTATAAGGTATTACAATGGTATGCAAAAGGTCTTTTAAGACTGAAGTTTGTATGTTGGCCCATCCGTGAAGCTAGACTAAAATAAAACATAAGTATAATTTTTCTACATTACAGCTGGAATTGAGACCTTTAATTCTCCTAAGCTTACATAATTCTATGAAATCTCCACATTTAATGTGGCATCTTCTTATAAACCGTAGGATCTGTTCAGTTGAGAACATTGACAACCCTTGTACTCCCCATTAACACCATTTTCTTTGATACTTTGCCTATAGTTACCAAGATTAATTTCTTCCAAACACATACCAACATCCTGGCAAAAAGAACAAGAAAAAGACATTAAATTCAAGTTGCTATACAAAATATCATTCAGTGTAATTAACAGTACTCGGCCATAATCAGTCTTTTCTTCTTTTTTTTATCCATCCCATTAACATTGGTCAATAGGATAACAACCCTAAACGTTATGGGTGTAGATTATGTTCCTTTATTAACTAACAATTCAGAACACTCGACTGTTTTTGGTCAAACTGAAATACCCATACTGAAATTTGA